CGGTTTATTTAGCTTTCGTTAGTCTGTGGGTTTATGTAGATTTCGTTAGTCAGTCGGTTTATTTAGCTTTCGTTAGTCTGTGGGTTTATGTAGATTTCGTTAGTCAGTCGGTTTATTTAGCTTTCGTTAGTCTGTGGGTTTATGTAGATTTCGTTAGTCAGTTGGTTTATTTAGCTTTCATTAGTCTGTGGGTTTATGTAGATTTCGATAGTCTGTGGGTTTTTGTAGCTTTCGTTAGTCAGTGGGTTCATGTAGCTTTCGTTAGTCAGTGGGTTTATGTAGATTTCAATAGTCTATGGGTTTATGTAGCTTTCGTTAGTCAGTGGGTTTATGTAGCTTTCATTAGTCAGTGGGTTTATGTAGATTTCAATAGTCTATGGGTTTATGTAGCTTTCGTTAGTCAGTGGGTTTATGTAGCTTTCATTAGTCGGTTTATTTAGCTTTCATTAGTTTGTGGGTGTATGTAGATTTCGATAGTCAATGGGTTTGTGTAGAATTTTTACTACATTAGCCTGCCACTAGTAATTCTACTGTTTTGCAAGTGAAGTTAACTATTTGAGTAATCTGATTGGTTAGTGAAAATTTCAGTAGACCAAACTCCAGTTTTTCTGATATGATAGATATAAATAATGCAGCTGAGTTATTATCATTATAACTTAGTGTTTTCTTTTTTCATTATATCTTTATGTTTGAATTATGTTTAAGCACTACTAAAGTCTTAGATGCTGCTCATTTAAACTATTAATATCCCCAGATTTATTTCTTATCTTGTCTTCTATCAAACTTAAATAAAGCTTTCAGCCTATTGACTTGGTAAAGTTTGGTTACCAATACATATTACTTGAAAGTGTGAATCTCTTTTTTTCATTTTTGAAGAGAAAGTCTCTTTCATCATTTAAATTCAAGATTTATGAATTGTTTTGATTGACTAAAAATTTCAGTCTCTCTGGAAATTTATTTTGTAATAATGAACTTGCTGAACAATAAAGTGTTAATTGTTTTAATTTTGTCTTTCTAATTGAAGCATGAACAGCACAACCAGTGCTTAAAGGATGAATTATATTTTAGGAGCTAGTTGGCTCCTATTTTTTGTCCATGGTTGCCAGAAAAAGAAAAGGTTGTCCATAACTACACAGAACTTTAATAGCAATAAATATAAGTTATAGTTAAATGATATATGATTAAAATATTTAACTTTAAAAAACATTATCTGTATCTTCAAGCATGTTTTACATCCATATATGTGCAAAAACTTATAGATTTTGCAAGGAAAAAAATATATAAAAAGGCAGTCTAAAACTAACTTTTCGCTAACAGTCATTTTAGTAACTTTTTAATAATTTGTGTATATTTTATCAAAAAAGATATTTGGAGGGATACATGCTTTTTCTTCTTTTTTTTTTATTCTCTGCTAATTGTTATTTAATTCAATAAAGTGAACCAGAGCCAGTACCTATAGGCCACCGCTTGTACTGAGCTCTCCTCTTTCCACTGCCAAAACAAATATATACAGCCTCTTTTGGGTTAAAATGATAGAAACTGAGGCCTTCTGAAGAAATTCTTATGAGGTGTTCAGTAACTGACATAGAAAGGGATGGTTGCTTTTTATTTTGTTGTGTGCATAAAATGACCTTTTGCACTGTACAGCTGAAACTATCATGGTCATGAGAATTTCCGCAAAGTGCAATAAATTCTTAAATCTTTCAATATAAGGATGCTTGGTGAACATAAAGACCCACACACTGTTGTGGGTCTTGTGCTGGAATTCATTGTTCACTGCAGTTTTAGCACACCTGCATTGGATCAAACTTTCACTTATGTTCATCATTCACTTGAGTAGGTTTTCTGATGAAGACACTAGGTTCTTCTTCTAATGTCTTCAACCCCCTTGTAGACTTTGAGCTGTTGTGGTACATTTGCCAAATGAGATGAAAAGTGTCGAGGACCTTTTTTATATGTTTACTTTTCTTCTATAGCATAACTAGCTCTAGGTGAATAGCCAAATAGATCATGCTTGTTCATGGTAACATTTGCTCCATCAGCTCCAGTTCCAATTAGTTTTTCTTTTCAGTTCTCATTTGTCATTTGAAGTTTCTCATAGGCATTTTCAATGGCTTCTTTTATACCTAAAATATAAAGGATTGTAGATAACAAAGATATTTTAAGTTATACACACACACAAAGTTCAAAACTTATGAAAAGTTTAAATAGGATTTTTAATTTGAATAATGGTAATGACAGTAATGTTGATATTGAATAAGAAAAAAAAATATACTAGTATTTGTTCATAAAACATTTTTGTAGATATTACAAACTGCTTTATACCTTGAGATTTTAAAATATATTTGAAATAGTTTCTGAATATTTACTGTACATTTCAATGAGATAGAACATTTAAAATAATAACATGTTATTACATAATATGCATATGCTAATTTAGCTTAAAAATAAATCTAGTTTAAAAAGTAGACTTTAGTCATGGTATTCAATAGCTTATATGATACTAAAAATATTTGTGGCATAGAAATTATATTAAAAAAATATTAAATACAACAGTGTCAGCTAAGTGAATTAATAGTAATAATCAATATTTGACCGTGTCCAGTTCACTAACAGTGTCTGTATGTGAGACATACATTTGATACTTGGTTTCAATATTTGAAAGTGTCCAGTTCACTAACAGTGTCTGTATGTGAGACATACATTTGATACTTGGTTTCAATATTTGAAAGTGTCAAGTTCACTAACAGTGTCTGTATGTGAGACATACATTTGATACTTGGTTTCAATATCTGAAAGTGTCCAGTTCACTAACAGTGTCTGTGTGTGAGACATACATTTGATACTTGGTTTCAATATTTGAAAGTGTCAAGCTCATTAACAGTGTCTGTAGAC